TGGTTTCCTTGAAAAGAAATGAATACATTTATAAAGTAGTTATGTCAAAAAACGCGAAAGTAGCTTGTGAGCTTCCCAGAGACGAGCGTCTGGGCTGTGGCAGCTACTCAAGAGCTCGTTAAACCTCCTGTAGCTGTCCGAGCTTGAAGACCTCGGACTCGTCACTTGCAAAACTTAGCTCGGTAGTGGATTCTCATGCCTTGTTCCAGAGCTTTCAGTTTGATCATCTTCCCACCAATGAGTCTCAGCTGCTAAAGCCGAGCAAGCCTTGATGGACGCGAAGAAAGTCCTGGAATCCGGTGCAGAGACCTCTGAGAGATTCTATGCCATTCTGTGCGTGTCCCAAGATGAAAGCATTCCAGGCCACTACATTGTGGCAAGGCATCCTGTCAGACACCCTCCTCGCCTCAACCAGGCTGCCACACCTCCCATACATGCCGATCAAGCTGCACGAAACGTAGAGATTGGAGCAAACCCTGCTCTGGATGGCGCGATTCCCCTCTCTAAATCCTTGGAGCTCAACCCTGAAAGGAGCTCCTCTGAGCAGTCTGTGCTGTGAACCCGGCATTGTCCCAATCTGTGGTAGTAGCTGTGGAGCGCGGGTCGAAGGAAATGCATCCATCCGTCGAGCGCCAAAAGAATCTTTTGTCGAAGAGCCCTAAAATTCCGAAGAGCTGTATCTGATAGGATTCGAACCTTGGACTTATGATTTGTGTACCAAATGCTCTAGGGCTTTTTAGTGAGCCGGCGAACAAAAAGTAGTGGTATTTATTGCGAAGAAACTTTTCTAGTAAAGTCCTTGTTCTCCTCGGCCACCTCGAACCCGGTCTACACTTACCTGATAACCAATTCCTCAGCAACCGGGTTCGTATCAAACCTTGTACTTACCCATAGAAGGCCAATGTTAATGTTCTTCCTTTCCCGCTGCCGACAAGGGCTTCAGCGTCCAGGTGAAGCTTTCTTGGCCTAGCCCGGGCTTATGCCACAAGCAGCACATTCCACTACAAGGCGGCATCGGGAAGGAGGTGTTTGATCGGAACCTTGTGGCGTGGAACACGCTGCTTGCTGCATACTCGAAGCAGGGGCTTGTGGGTTGGAATGCAATTCACACACAGCTTTGTGTCACGGTGATAGTGCTTTGCTCCACTCAAATCCGGCCTCACACAGTGGTGCTTGAGCTGGGCCTTTTTCCCAGCCTCGCTAGCGTGTCTTCCATGTACGTCCTCACACCCAGATTCAAACCGATTCGAGCGTTGACCTCAGAAATCCTCCCTTCTCATGCCGTCGGCGAAGTTCCTGGGATCCATCTCCAGCTGCCCAGACAGTCGTCTCCGCTGCTCTTGAAACAACCTTGGATCCTGGCCCGGAACAAAACTTCCACTCACGTTTGCCAAAGGAAGAATCGCTGCTGCCGCTGTTCCTGGAAAGCCTTGCGATCCATACACTAGTGGCTGAGCGGCCTCTACAGCTTCTCCCTGTCCCCCGACTCCTCTCCTCCAAGTCCTCCAAAGATCTAGAGTTGAGATCCTTTCCTGGCATGAAATGTTGCTGGTTGGCTGGAATAGACCATTGTTGACGCTGTGGAGGCTCCCAAAGGAAGACTGTAAGATCGGCTTGAGAAAACCAGGAACTAGCTGAGACATCTTTGATCGTTCTCCAGCGTCATGGAAACTATCAGTGGTGGCCATGTTTTGAGCTGCCAGCTGCTGATAATTCTCCCACTCCCACTCTGATAGACGATGAGCCCCTGGATGCCTTGAACTTATAGTGTCACTGCCGCCGACTATGACGCTTGATCCACCACCTGTTCGATGGCATGCCCAAGAGGAGCCTCGTGTCGTGGTCGGCGATGCTAGTGGTGTTTGCAAAGAGTGGCTGCATAGATGACGCCACAAGGCTGTCCGATGCAATGCGGATAGCCATGATCACCGCTTGTGCCGACCGCGACCTGGCCCGGGCCAAGCTCTGTTTGCACGACACGGCAAGGGTGACGAGCCTCCCGGAGCAGGAAATGTTCTCTTGGGATGCCCTCCTAGCCCCACTGCAGGCGGTGTCGACACTCATATTGGGTGGTACCCGGTATCAGTGTCAGTATCAGTGGTGGTTTCCTCCACCAGGCCAAGAGACTCTCTGACAGAGTGCCGGATTGAAGCGTGACGCTGTGGACGTTGGTCTCCAGGTCTGCATTCCTGGGCTGGTGTCTCCGGCGCTCAAGGCTGAAAAGCTAGTGCTGTGTCCCAAGAAGCATCACCCCTCCTGGGTCCATGTTTTTCCCCATTCTAAACCAAGAAGAAAGTTTTGTTTGTGACTGATGTTGGTGACCATGGGCAATGAATTGTATGTCAACCTGTAATATGACATACCTCTCAAGGACATTAGAATCCTCTTGACTAACATTTAAGAACCTGGAAACTATTCCTTGTGCACACAAGGTAGATCCAGCAACTTACATCTTGGCTATACAGGATACTCCTCATAATGAGGAGTATCCTGTATAGGCAAGCTGTAGGGAGCTTGATGCATGGCTTAGGACTTTGCACAGGTGCTTGCATTTGGTTTGGCACGTGCCCAACATTGTTGGGCGATGAAGCGTTCAATCGCTTGAGTCAAATTCCTGTTTCCCCTTCCCTAGTCTAGCATTCACACGCTCGAGGGTGGCCTAGCAAAATCGGCTTGCTCTCGGATCCAATCTGGATATTCTGCACGAACCTAGTCGAGAACTTTGAAGTTTGCTTGCTTTGAGAGTCCGAGCCTTCCTCCTCAAGAAGCACATTCTCGACCGCTGAGCAACCTTCTCCATGAGCTAATAGCTCCTTAATCCTTGTGAAAGTGCTCCCATTCCTGGGACTTTAGCAGAGGCGTGAAGGCCCTAGATAAATGCACGTCCAGCAAGGTGTTCACTTTCGACGGAAGAGACCATAGCAACCATCCTTGAAGCTCTTGTTAAACCTTCAATGTCTCCAGCTGCCAACCCAAACATCAAAACATCCACATAGGTCGTTGCCCTGACCCTTGTTGACCAAGTCAATCAACCTGCCCTAGTCAACTTTTATAGACTTGCCGTTTTCTTCTCATTTAAAATTCAAAAACTCTGCTTTTAGGATTCTTCGCTTGTCATGAGCTCCAAGAAGGCCGCCATTTGCTGCCCGCCATCGCCGCCCATCCTCTGGAGCTTCCAATTCCCTCCAATTCCCCCCTCTCCCCTGGCCTTCCTCGTGAGCCCCATCTCTTTCATCCGGCTCCTCACGAGCTCCCTATCCTCCATCTTCCCAGCGGCCGCGTAGATGTTGGAGAGCACTATGTGCGAGGCGGCGCTCTGGGGATCTAGATCATGGAGCCGCTGCGCCGCCACCGCGGCATTCTCGACCGCCCGGTGGATCCGAAAAGAACCTAGCAACGATCCCCATGCCCTGGCGTCCGGCTCGAATGGCATGCTCTGTATCAGATCCATCGCTCGCCCAAGATGCCCCAATCGCCCCAGGATGTCCATCATGAGGTTCCAGTGCTCCACCGCCGGCTGGATCCCGTGCTCCGCCGCCATGCCCGTGAAGTATCCCCAGCTCGCCTCGATCCGCCCGGCGTGATTGCACGCGACAAGCGCGTTCGTGAAGGAGATATGATCGTGCCCAATCCCCTCCACATCCATCCGGGCGAAGATCTCCAGCGCCAGATCGCCCCTGCCGCAGTGCGCGCACGCTGCCATGATCGCATTCCACGCCACCACATCCCTCTCATCAATCAACTCGAAAGCCCTTGCCGCGCCCGCCAGGTTGCCACTCTGCGCATACGCCTGGATGAGCGCCGTGGCGGCGATGGCGTCCCTGTCTGGCATCGCGTAGAAGATTCCCTCCGCGCTGGGGAGATCGCCATTCTCGGCAAATCCCATCAGCATCGCGTTCCACACGACGCGATCTTTCTCGGGCACTGCCGCGAATAGAGCCCTAGCTTCTTCCAGATGCCCGAGCTGGGCATATGCTACAAGCATGGCCGTCCAAGATACCACTGTTCTTTGGGGCATGGAATCGAACACCCAACGTGCCGAGTCCACCTCGTTGGATAGAACATACCCATGCAAGAGCACCGTCCACGTAATGACGTTCGCGTATGGCATTGAATCAAACACTGCTTTTGCGTCCTCCAAATGCCTCGTGGCGGCAAATAGTTGAAGAACACTTGTCCACGAGACGATGTTCCTCTCGGGCATAGATGCGTAGAGGTTCTTCGTGTAATCGAGATCTCCATGCCGTGACATCGCAGCGATCATTGAGTTGTAGCTCACGAGGCTCCGGACAGGCATAGATTGGAAGAACGTTTTAGTATCGCGCAGATCCCCAGAGAGCGTAAAGCCCTGGAGCATCACGGTCCAGGAGACGACGTTCCTCTCGGGCATGGCATCGAACAGCGCCTTTGCGGGCGCAAATTTCCCGCCAGCGACGAACGCCTGGAGCATCGACGTCCAGGAGACGATGTCTCGGACGATCATCTGGTCGAAGATCCCTTTGGATCCCTCCAGGCAGGAGTTCTGGGTGTAGGCAGCGATCATGGCGTTCCAGGCGGGGGTGCTCCAGCCGGGCATCCGATCGAAGAGCCGCTTGGCGCTCTCGATATCCTTGTTCTGTGCCAGAGCGCCGATCATGGTCGTCCAGGAGAAGAGATTGGGGGCTTTGATCTCCCGGAACACCGCCAGCGCCTCGCCCGCGCTCTCGCACTTGCCATACATCTGCACAAGGAGATTGGCGAGGAAGCAGTCGTCGTGGAGCTCGCTGTGCCGGATCCGAGTGTGGACGCTTCTCCCCCGGTGGAGATCCTTGCAGTCGCCGCAGGATCTGATCAGCGCCGCGAAGAAGATCTGCGTAGATTCGCCGCTTGGCTTTGATGGAAGATCTTTGCCATCGCTCTTCTTCCTCGTCTCAAGCGCACCGCCGGCCCCAATCGCGGCCATTCTCCTTTGCGCGCAAATTCAAAATTCAAAATCATTTAAAAAAGAGCCATAGTCAGCCCTAGCCTTGTGCCGTTGACTTGTTACGTTGACTTGTTACGTGGATGTTGGACAGCACCAAGTAGGGAGCCGGATCGCGGTCCTCGGCCATTGACTCGACCACGCTCTTCCCACCGGTTGGGTCTCCGTTGACTCCACAAGCTCCCACCGCCATTGTCAACGCCACGGAGCTCGGCTCAAACGGCATGGCGTGGACCAAGTCCGCGGCTTCCTCGGCTTGCCCAGCCCGACCCAGGAGATCGATCATGCACAAGTAGTGCTCGCAAGTTGGTGCGATTGAGAAGCTCTGGGCAATGTCTGCAAAGTAACTCAACCCTCGGCTCAAGCTCCCGAGGTGGCTGCACGCCGCGAGCACACTCGTAAATGTGATATCGTCAGCGCTTACGCCGTCGAGGTTCATGAGGTGGAATAGATCCAGTGCGGATGCGGCATGCCCGTGCTGTGCATACGCGGCCAGCATCGCGTTCCATGTAACAAAGCCCTTAGCCGGCATCGCGTTGAAGATCTCCCTTGCTTGATCCAGATCCCCGCATTTGCCATACATGTTTACCAGGGATGTTGCCACGGTCACGTCCAGGACGGCCACCTTGGTCGTCGCTACCAGGTGGTCGTGGATGGCTTTGCCGACGATCAGAGCCCAGGACCAGCACGCGCAGGCATTCAGGGCGCTGATGAACGTTATCCTGTTAGGCGCTGGATCGCTTGCCAGATCCATGAGTCGGAAGAGGTGAATGGCCTCCTCGTTCCCGTGCTGTGCGTATCCCGAGATCATGGAGTTCCACGAGGCCGTGTTCTTGTTTGGAGTGAGATTAAACACCACCTTCGCTTCTTCCAAATGCCCGTTTGTGGCATATGCGGCAGCCATTGCATTCCAAGATACAACGTTTCTTCTTGGCATTTTATCGAAAGCGTTTCTAGCTTCCTCCAGATACCCAAATTCTCCAAGCGCGGCTATAATCGTGGTCCACGAGTAGACATCCTTTGAAGGCAGCAACTCAAAAAACAACTTTGCCTCGTCTAGATACCCTGATTGGGCATACACTGCAAGCATTGCGTTCCAAGTAATCACATTCTTATGAGGCATTCTGTCAAATGTCTTTTTTGCCGAATCCACTCTACCAAGCTTTCCGTACATGGTGACAACTGCAGTGCTGACAATAACAAGATCTTCCATCCCGGATTCAGCCACAAGCCCGTGAACGATCCGGCCTTGCCGGATCGATTCACACGCCTCGAGCGCGCTGAGGAACGTGAACTGATTTGCGGGGACGCCGTCGAGATCCATGAGCGCGAGAAGCAGTAGCGCTCCATCGTCATGACCGCGCCGGGCATACGCCGCGATCAGGATGTTCCACGACACCTCGTCCCTGGCGGGGATTTGATCGAAGACGAGCTTGGCGCGTGGGTAGTCTTCGTTGTGAGCGTACGCCGTGAGCAAGAGATTCCATGAGTAGATGTTGCGCTCTTCCATGGAAGTGAAGATCTGGAGGGCCTCGTCCAGGCGCCCACACCGGCCATACATCTGGACGAGGAGATTTTGGAGGAGAGTGTTCTTGCCATGGCCGTCGCTGAGAATGCGTTCGTGGACAATTCGACCTTGATCCAGCGCCCTGGCGCTGATACACTGGCGGAGGAGATGGGTCAGTGTGGAGCAATCCGGGCGATTGAGCCGCGCGATCGCCTGAGATAACCGGGAGATTTCGGCATCGCGATTCGATCCATCTGGGCATGAGCATCTCATGTAGTAGCTCCTCAAATCAAGTTTCCCTGGACCAGGATTTCTTCGACAGGCTGAGCGGCAACTGACGAGCCTTGAGTGATCGTTCTCGCGAGCGAATTGATGAACTGATGATCGATTTCATGACGTTGATTTTCAGATCCAGATATTCCCTCAAAATGTGTGAAATGCATTACATTCGGCAAATTTGCGTTTTCACCAAAGAGGAACTGAGGGCTTAAATAAACTTACAACAAAAGAAAGGGATTGTGAAGAGAGAGAGATTTATAATCAGGAGGTCGAGTTGCAGCGCTGGACATGTAGACCACATGATGTTGTGTCTTGGTCCCCAGTCAAAAGTGGTGGTACGATCGAGGTTGTTTTATGGTTTTTGTCTCATTAGAACATTTCTATTCTATTTTATGTTTATAAATTGTAAATATGTTTATAACTCGAGATAAAAATAAATCTTCAAAAATGTTCTGATTAATCTGTGTAATATTAGATGGTTTGCTTAAGCAAACAAAAAATATTTAAATGAACTTTGTTTTGGGAGGATTTATTTTGATTTATTTTTTATTTTGTTGAAAATAAACCACATTCATGCAGCAAGAGAAACAAGAATTTCTCGCTCCTTAGATGTGCATTTCTGCCTCGAGTGTAACACAGCAGAGTTATCCACCAGGAGAACGTCACCTTTCTCCCATGAGAACACCACCTCTTCCTCGAGCATTATCTCCACGAGTTCCTCGGCAGTTTCATCCTGAAGCAGTGTTCCATCCTC